CAGCGGGACCACGCCGGGTGCGGGGTGGTCTGCTCCAGGCCTCGTGGTGCAGTTCATAGGGATGGGTGTGCCAGCGGCATGCTTGGGGTGGCAGGCCGGCAGGACTGAGCGCCAGGGCGCCGCTGGGCCAGCCGGGTGCTTCTTGGTCACTTCTCCGCTGGGGGTTGGCTAGGCCCCAGCCCGCTGCCACGCGGGGTTCCTCCCTGGGCCGCTGCCACGCCGGGCGCCCAGCTCAGCTCACCCGAGGCCTCGGGCTCCCGGCCACTCGTGGAAGGCGGGGCCCAAGAGGCCCGGACAGCGGGGCGAGGCTGGACAGGATGGTGGGCGGGACGGCGCGCGGCGCGGCGCGGCCCACGGAAGGGGCGGGGCGGGGCGCTCGTCACGCCCGGGGCGGGGCCGGCCCTGCCTGGCGCCGTTCTGTGTCTGTCTATCCCGTCCGCCGTCCTCCGGGTCGGTTCGATCACCCGTGGGGAGCACGTGGCCGAGCAGGTGCGGGGCGGAGCTCGGGCGCGGGCTCGCGGGAGCGGTCGCCCGGCGCGCGCGGCAGGGCGGGGCCGGGTACGCGCTCTCGGCCTCCGGCGGGAGCAGGGTGCGGCGCGCGTCGGGCCGGGTCCCGCGGGGCCCTCACCACCCCGTCCGCCCGCCAGGCCGCCATGGGACGCGGAGGCGCGGCGGGCTGCACCCCGCGCCCGCCCATCCGCGCGCAGCCCGCGCCCGCGCGCCGCGTGCTGGCCGTGGTCTTCCTCGGCCTCCTGCTGGACCTGCTGGCCTTCACGCTGCTGCTGCCGCTGCTGCCCGGGCTGCTGGAGGGCCACGGCCGCGCGCGCGTAAGCGCCCCGACCCGGGGGAGCGGGGCCGCGGGGAGGGCTGACCGGGGGCCCCGCCCCTGACCCCGGGGAACCAACCCGAGACCCCGCCCCTGACCCCCCCCACCCGAAACTCCGCCCCTGACCCCCGGGGAACCCGACCCGAAACCCCGCCCCTGACCCCCCCAACCCCCCCGACCCGAAACTCCGCCCCTGACCCCCGGGGAACCCGACCTGAAACCCCGCCCCTGACCCCCGGGGAACCGACCCGAGACCCCGCCCCTGACCCCCCCCACCCGAAACTCCGCCCCTGACCCCGGGGGAACCCGACCCGAAACCCCGCCCCTGACCCCCGGGGAACCCGACCCGAAACCCCGCCCCTGACCCCGGGGAACCCGACCCGAAACTCCGCCCCTGACCCCCCGGGGAACCGACCCGAGACCCCGCCCCTGACCCCCGGGGAACCGACCCGAGACCCCGCCCCTGACCCCCGGGGAACCCGACCCAAAACTCCGCCCCTGACCCCGGGGAACCCCGCCCCTGACCCCCGGGGAACCGACCCGAGACCCCGCCCCTGACCCCCGACCCGAAACCCCGCCCCTGACCCCGGGGAACCCGACCCGAAACCCCGCCCCTGACCCCGGGGACCCCCGCCCCTGACCCCGGGGAACCCCGCCCCTGACCTGAGAGGCCCCCACCGCACCCCCCTGACCCTGGGAGACCGGCCCGCCCCTCCCCCAGGACCCCCTGTACGGCGCCTGGCAGCGCCGGGTGGACTGGCTGGCCGCCGCCATCGGGATGCCTGCGGAGCGGAGGTACCACAGCGTCCTGTTCGGAGGTGAGGCCCGGCCGCCCCCCTCCCCGCCTCTGTCCGCCTGTCCCGGGTTCTTGCGTGGCAGGCCCGTGCCCCCAGGGGCCCCGCTGCCCCCAGGCGGGCCCTGAGCGCTGGATGCCACCGCCGACCCCGACCTCCACCTCTCTCAGGTGCCCTAGGCTCAGGCTTCTCCCTCCTGCAGTTCCTGTCCGCGCCCCTCACCGGGGCGGCCTCCGACTGCCTGGGGCGGCGGCCCGTGATGCTGCTGTCCCTGGTGAGCTTCGGGCCTCTGCGGGCTGGGGGGGGAGAAGCGACCCCCGGGCTGTGGTCCGGCTCCTCGAGGCCGGGCAGTGCTCACACCACTCCCGGCCCCTCCCTCTCCTCTGGCAGATGGGGTTAGCCGCCTCCTATGCTGTGTGGGCTGCTTCCCGAAGCTTCCTGGCCTTCCTGGCCTCCAGAGTGATCGGAGGCCTCAGCAAAGGGAATGTCAGCCTCTCCACAGCCATCGTTGCTGACCTGGCCTTGCCTCCTGCCCGCAGCCAAGGCATGGTGAGCTCTCAAGACTAGGCCAGGAGCCTGGGCCTGGGCCTGGGCCTCTGCCCAGCACAGACGGCTTTCTTCTCAGGCAGTCATCGGGGTGGCCTTTTCCCTGGCCTTCACACTGGGCCCCATGCTTGGGGCCTCCTTGTCGGTGGAGATGGCGCCCTGGCTCAGCCTGTTCTTCGCCCTCTCAGACCTGCTGTTCATCTTCTGCTTCCTGCCAGAGACTCTGCCTCCAGAGAAGCGGGTAGGGCCAGACCCAAGGCCTGGGGACTTGGGTCCCTGGGCGTGAAGGGGCGTCCCAAGTTCCCAGTGCGGCTGACCTACCCCCTCCTGCTCTCCAGAGGCTGTGGAGCCCCCAATTCCTCCCTGTGTCCCCAAGGTCTCTGCCCCAGGGCTTGGCAGGTAGAGGAGGCCTGGCCGGCTGGCGGCCTACCTTGTGCAGGGCCCTCTGAAGCTGCCAGACCACCGCCCGCAGGCCTCCCACTCCCTCCCACAGGCCCCCTCTGTCGCCCTGGGCTTCCGCGCCGCGGCCAACCTGCTCAGCCCCCTGGCCCTGCTCCGCTTTTCAGCGGTCGCCCACGGCCAGGCTGCGCTCCCTGGAAACAGTAAGGAGCCTTGCCTGCTGCCCACAGCCCGCAGCACCACGCCCCTGGCCACCCACACCACCCAAGCCCCCTGTGGTTCCCCCGTCCCGCAGAACTCAGCAGCCTGCGCCAGCTGGGCCTGGTCTACTTCCTGTACCTCTTCCTGTTCTCGGGTCTGGAGTACACGCTGAGCTTCCTGGCTCACCAGCGTTTCCAGTTCAGCAGGTGAGTCCATCCAGGGAGGCCGTCTGGGACCTGTCCCCCTGTCCCCCCCTCGCCCACCTGGATGGCCCGCGGGCCGGACCCTGACCCTCCGCCTCCCAGCCTGCAGCAGGGCAAGATGTTTTTCTTCATCGGCCTCACCATGGCCGCCATACAGGGTGGCTATGCCCGGCGCATCAGCCCCGGCGGCGAAGTTGGAGCTGTGAAACGGGTAGGGGTCCCTCCATAGAGGGGATGGGGTACCCGGGCTCATGGCAGGCCACAGGGTTGGTCTTGAGGCCATGTGCCCGCTGCAGGCCTTGTTGCTGCTGGTGCCAGCCTCCCTCCTCATCGGCTGGGGGCGCTCGCTGCCGGTGCTGGGCCTCGGGCTGCTGCTGTACTCGTTTGGTGAGTGGTCCCACCAGGGCTGTGGGGCTCCCTCCAGGCCTCCCCCATGTTGACGGTGCCCCCCCTGTTCCCTTCCAGCCGCCGCAGTGGTGGTGCCCTGCTTGTCCTCCGTGGTTGCCAGCTACGGTAAGCGCCCTTCTGAGTGGGGCCATGGGGGGGGGGGGGGCCGTGTCCTTGACGCGTCCGTCCCCACAGGCTCAGCAGGGCAGAAGGGCACGGTTATGGGCACGCTGCGGAGCCTGGGAGCCCTGGCCAGGGCAGCGGGGCCCATGGTGGCTGCTTCAGGTGAGGCTCTCTGGGCTTCTCTCTGGGCTATCCGCTCTGCACACAGACACACACACACACCACCACCACCACCACCACCCCTGGCCCACCCTCTCCCAGGCCCACGTGGACGCTGTCTCTCCACAGTGTACTGGCTGGCTGGGGCCCAGGTCTGCTTCTCCCTGTGCTCCGGGCTCTTCCTCCTCCCCTTCCTCCTCCTGCGGAGGGTGAAGCTTCCCGCACAGATGCCCAAGGCCCAGTAGCCAAACCCCACGCCTGCCCAGCAGGGCACTGGGTGCCAGGACCACTCCAGCCGCCGCCGCCTTCTTCCGCCCCGACGGCCCCGGCCACTGCGGAGCCTCCGCAGTTCTGTTCATTGCCAAGGCCACGGCCTGTGTGTCTGAAGAACCAATAAAGCAGCTGTTTTGTACCAGTGCCTCTTCCAGGGTCCCAGGGTGGCGAGCGGGTGTCTCACCCCTGCCGAAGGAGAGTAAGCTAGAGCGGACAGCCGAGCCTCCCGCACTCCCAAGCTGGGTGCTGTGGCGAGCAGGGGTGAGGCGCAGGCCTCGGCACGGCCGGGCCGTCCTGGTGAGGGGTACGGCCACACTCCGCTGTCCTTGTCACGAACACCGGCCCGTCTGCATGGGGCAGAAGTGACGTGGGAATCTGCTCAGACTCGGGGACGGCTGCCTCCCCCTGCGCCCTGCCCGGCAGCAGGCTCCTGGGAAGACTTGGGTAGAGTGTGGTGGTAGAGGGGCTGCCACAGGTGGCGCTTTAGGGGCAGAGGTGGGGCTCGGTGGCAGAGTGCTCACCTAGCATGCGGGAAGCCCCGGCCTCCATTTCTCATTACCATAGCCACCAAAAGAGCCAGAATTGGGCTGGGAAGGTAGCCTAGGGGTAGAGTGCTTGGCTAGCATGCATGAAGCCCTGGGTTCGATTCCTCAGGATCACATACACAGAAAAAGCCAGAAGTGGTGCTGTGGCTCAAGTGGTAGAGTGCTATCCTTGAGCAAAAGAAGCTCAAGGACAGGCCCTGAGTTCAAGCCCCAGGACTGGCAAAAAGAAGCACTTGGGAATTCTAAGAAAATGTGAGACAGACCTTCAGAAAAAACCTTAAAGAGCTGGGTGCTGGTGGCTCATGCCTGTCATCCTAGCTACTCAGGAGGCTGAGAGCTAAGGATCACAGTTCAAAGCCAGCCCAGGCAGAAAAGTCTGTGACTCATCTCCAATGAACCACCAGAAAACCTGAAGTGGTGCTGTGGCTTAGCTTGAGCTGAAGAGCTCAGCAACAGCGCCCAGGCCCCAAGTTCAAGCCCCACGACTCAGAAAAGAAACCTTGAAGAGAACAAAACACTAAACCACTTCTGAGATTTAGACAAGGAAGTTGCTTAAAGATCTTTATTTGTGAGTAAAACATGTTACAGAGGAGAGGAGGAGCGGAGCTGTCCCCAAGTCTGTGTCGTGGACGCAACTCCCTGTTGTGATACAAAGAATTAGACTACAAAAGTGAAAATCAAAGTCATTGCATATGTGGGTAGAGGGAGGGCAGGGGAGGGGTGAGAAGTCCTGCAGGAGGAAGAACTTCATTCCGCCTGGCAGCGCAGCTGTGCGGCTGCCCGGGGCCTTCCTGCTGGCATGGCCGGTGGGATGCCAGTACCCAAGACTCAGCTCTATGGGAGCCTCTCTAGTGGGGTGTGGGGGTCCCATCAGGTTCCCCCACTTCTGAACCGGTTTCCCTGGCGAGCAGCTTCAAACCTGAATGCAAGTGGATGAGAGTCCCGGGGACCGCCAGGAGACGTCAGTCCCCAGCAGAAGCATGGGGTCCCGGGGTGGGGCTGGCTTCCCCTTCCAGTCACCTTTGACTGAAACCAGGGTACCTCTAGGCTCGGGGAAGGGGAGACTAGATTTCAGGTGAGCGCCAAACCCTTCTCCAAATAGGAGAGCCTTTTGGGCTGCATGTGCCGCAGGCTGCGGGAAGAACGCGACCGTGGCCTGTTGAGGCACAGGGGTAACATGCTCACCGGGCGGGCGAGCATGCCGAGTCACGTGAGGGTCTGCCCTGCCCTGCCCTGCCCTGCCCTGCCCGGATTCAGAGGCCCCGGTCTGGCAGACTGAGCTCCTGGGTCCGGTGTGAGTTGTGGGGTCACCAGCAGGACCATGCATAGCGTGTGGGCCACGCCAGCCCACGTGTTGTGGGGCTTCCTGTCCTGAACCCACCCCTTCACGGCAGCGGGGTGCCCCGTGCCATGTGTGGGTACGAGTGACCCCAGGATTGGGACTTGGTGTAGGGGCCCAGGAGACCACTGAGCAGAAGCCACGGCTGGTGCCGCCACCACACACAGCCAAGCGGAGATGAACGGCATTCACGACAGCGACAGCGAGGAGGGGTCACAGCGGCGCTGCCGGAACCAGGTCCAGGACCAGGCTTCAGCACGGCCGGCCGCGTGCAGGAGGAGCAGAGGAGCAGGCCAGGGCCGGGCGCGTGCCGACAGCAGGGAGTCAGGCGTGGGTGCGTGGGGGAGGGGGCCTGGCCTTCGCACGGGACAGGAGAGGCAGCCAGGCGACCGGGCCGGGCGGCGGGCGGCCCCTCAGCAGTCGGCCTTCTTCTTGCTCTTCTTCAGGAAGGAAGGCGTGCGGAACTTCTTCTTCTTCTTGGATGGGGACTTGCCCGGGGAGCCGTCGCTGCCCGGGTCCGCCGCAGGCCCCTCCTCGGCCTCCGGGGCTGGGGCTGGGGCTGGCTCGGCGCTGGGCTCGGCGGGGGCGGGGGTGGGGGGGCCCTGGGCTTCCTCCTCGGCTGCCGGGAAGCCCAGCGCTTCCGAAGGCTCATCAGGGGACAGATCGGGGAGGGTGGGCTTGAAGGTGGCCGTGTCGCTGTCGTCCCCGCAGGCGGGCTCCTGTGGGAGATCTGGGGGGGTGGGGGACAGGTGAGGGGTCTGCGCCATCTGGGGGGCCGCCTGAGGGCATTTTATCCTAGTCTATGGGTTCTCCCAAGACCAAGCTGAGATGGTGTCTGCACGGCCTCGGGCCCGGCCGGGCCGGCCAGCCGCGCGGCGGGGATGGGTGAAGCTGCTCGGTGCGAGCAGTCCCCAGACCGACAGCCGCCTCCCTCTGCAGCAGCAGAAAAAGTCTGGGACCCCGTGTGTAGCGTGGACAGCCAACCAGGTGAGGTCATTTCATCTGGGTGGCAACAGACTAAAGAGGCAAGGAGCAGACAGCAAGCCACGTTCACAGGTGAACGGCAGCGTGAGAAGGCGCAGGGCTGCGCGGCCTGTCCTGACCGCAAGGGCAGCGCCCCGCGCAGCTGGCTATCAGGCAACGCCGGACACTTCTTCAAGACCAAGCCACACGCGAGGTCAGGGAGCAGCTGCGCCACGCAGGGTTCGGGAGCCGCGCTCAGTGCGTCAGCTTTGGGAGGCTGGAGGCTCCCAGGGACACCCAACGCGGGCAGGAGGGCCGAGGGCACACAGGCGCCTGCCCACCCCAGCACATCGGCCCCTCTGCCAAGCTTGCTGCCGCCTGCGCAGGCTCAGCAGAATGGCACCTGGCCAAGTGTCCCGCTCCATACACAGTAGCAGGCGGGCTCCACGGCCACCCAGCCTGCGCCGTCAGAGCCCGGCCACTCACTCCCCACCTCAGGCAATCAGAGGGGAGCCCCACGGCTGAGCAGAAGAACTGCCCACAGCCCTGAGTGCGCTGGGACGCTCTGGGGGGGGGGAGCACTGATGTGGGGGTGCGTGGTGACGGAGCAGTGTCCGGGGCAAGCACCGGGGCTGGGCACGACCAGGAACCCCCATTTTGAGGTGAAGTCACAGAACACAAAACTTAGTACTTTTAGCAACAAAGAAGCAGGCGGAGCGCAGGCCGCGGCGGGAGCGGGAGCCGTGGAGCGGGCAGCGGGCAGCGCAGGCGCAGTACTTACTAGGGCAACAGGTATTCTTTAGCACATCCGGCTCCTGCTGTGAGGCGGCCACAAGAGAGAAAAGCACAAGTAGAGAATCTATGCATTCAGTCACAGCCATCAGGGTACACAAGAAAAGGCCGAGCCATTCTGGGAGGACACAGAATGGGGAGGGAGCCGCGGGCTTCCCGGGAGACATGGACGGACCAGACCGACGGACAGACCACAGACAGATGGTGCAGAGAGGCGCAGGGCACACAGCGCTCAGTGGTCACTGCAGCTGCGCACAGAGGGCAAGCGGCGCCACGAATGACACGGGCCCGAAGGGCTCCCAGCCCTCAGGAGTCCCGAGAGCGTGAGGACCACCGCCCGGCCCCGCACCCGCACCCTGGAGGCCGTGCACCCTCCCTCCCGGAGGCTGCCGTGCAGCACCCCCAGAGCTCACCTTCCTCAAGCTTCACGGGGGTGCTGGGGGGAGTGTGGGGGACAGCGGGCTGGTCTGGAAGACTCTTGTCTTTCTGTTCTCTCGTCTCACTGAGATTCTCTGTGAATGCACACAAAGTAAGACGGTCAGGGTGCGGAGCTGGAGACCCCCGCACGCCTCCGGTCCTGAGCAGGAGCCTGGCCAAGAAGGCCCCAGGCAGGGCCGCCACTGCCGCGCCTCCCAGACCACTGCAGCCTCAGATGCACCCAGCCCCCACCCACGTTCCAGAAAAGCCAACGCTGCAAACCAAGTCTGACTCCACTCGAGTAGAACTGCCTGGTGTCCTGGCACAGATGGGCGGGCTGCAGCCGCCAGCTCATTGCCCGCAGAAGCTCACACGTCAGTGCTGGGGCTAGCTTCTCCTACAGGGCATTTCCTATCAACAGTTTAAACTGGCAACTACAATGACGTAACACACACTGGTGAGTGCCAGAGGAAAACACACAGGAACTAGAACCGAAACCCTGAAAGACATTCCACATGCTCTCTTTCTCTCTCTCTCTCACACACACACACACACACACGTATATATGTGTGCATATACACTCACACACATGCATATATGTGCGCATATACACACACACACATATATATACTACCTTTTTAAAAATCTATTTTTAACTTTTTATTATAAAGGTGATGTCCAGCTGGGCGCTGGTGGCTCACGCCTGTCATCCTAGCTACTCAGGAGGCTGAGATCTGAGGATCGCGGTTCAAAGCTAGCCTCGGTAGGAAAGTCCATGAGATTCTTATCTCCAATTAACCACCAGAAAACTGGAAGTGGTGCTGTGGCTCAAGTGGTAGAGCACTAGTCTTGAGCTGAAGGCTCAGACCCAGAGTTCAAGCTCCATGACCAACAAAAAAAAGAAAAAGAAAAAGGAAGGTGATGTACAAAGGGGTTACAGTTATGTAAGCCATAAACCACCTTGCATTTGCAGATTTTGGATTAGCAGCTTAGGATCTCCAGGGCCCCATATTCTGAACAATACAACCACTTTGCTAAACTCATCAGGGCCTCTCCCAGGCAAGGATGGATTCCTAAGCTGGCTGCAAACCCCAAGAAGCTACTAAGACAAAGCCACAGGCCCCCAGGAGCTCATAGCAGCCTTAACCAGCACAAGGAGCTGACTTTTGAAAGGTAGCCCGAGTTCTTTTTTTTGTTCTGAGACTGGAACTTGAACTCAGTATGGGACGCTTCCTCCCACTGGCTGGTGCTCTAGCACCTGAGCCACGCCTCTAACGCCAGTAACCAAGTTCCACTGGCAACGCACTATGCTAAGCACACTGCCAAGGACCGGGGACCATGCAGGGGGCCAGGCCCCGCCTGCAAGCACAGCTCATTGTGGGTAAATGCTGCACCTGATGCAGTAGAACAGCCCAGAGCTCAAGCCAGCGCCCCAGGTCCTCAGGGCTGCACCACAAAGACAAGTGGCAAAAAAAGTACCGTGCGCGATGGAAAACAAGTCACATCTCAACAGCACTTACATCATCAGCTTGAGCTAAAATGACACCAGAAGAGTCAGGTGTGGAGCAAACCTACGGTTGTCTAAATCTAAGCTGGTCACACACAACCATGCTCCCACTTTCTGCCCAGCTTCCTCCACGGCGAGGGAGGGAACAGACCCATTTCTCAGGACTGACTGCAGCCTGAGGTAAGGACAGGGATGCTAACGTATCACAAGAGGCAAGGAGACCTCCTCTCTCTAAACCCGGACAGACAGCATCCCATAATGACCCAGCTTGGTGACGTGTGTGAGATAAGAATGCAGACGGCACCCCTGGAGCTCTCTGGGCCTGTCCACCGGCTCCTGGCCAGGGGGGCGTCCCAGGCTCAGTCCCCGCACGGGCTCCACGGTCTCACGGCGTGCACCCCGGCGCGGAGCGCTACTGCAGATCTCCAAGGCTGCACACTGCGCATTCCCGCCAGCTCCTGACAGCGCCGCTCCCTCAGGCCGGCACGGAGCACCGCTCAACCCCACTCACTCCCAGCCGAACACGAGGCCGCTGCCGCACGCGTGACCCTCCTCACACAGACCCAGCTGCGCAGCGCCCAGACCCGGGAGCACTCACCCTCCGAGCCCTTCTGCTTGCGCTCCACCTCGCGGCGGTACTCCTCCAGCTCACGGTCGGTGAGTGCGTTGAAGGGGTTGGGGCCCGCGGTGCTCACAATGACATGAGGCTGGTACTCCTTCTCAATGATGGCTTTGGAGGCGGTCACCAGCTCCCCCTGCGGGCGAAGAGGAGGCGCTGTGTGCAGGAGCCAGCCAGCCGGGCTCCCCCTCCTCCCAAGCGGGCTGCAGGCAGGGGGGAAGCAGGCAGACACGGGGGACTGTGCCACTGGGCCCCGGCTAGGCCACACGAAGCACGGCTGTGCGTGTGGAAACGTGGTTTCTATACACACAGGACTCAAAAAGAATGCCTACTGCACTACCCGCCAGGTCTCACACACGCGGACCCCGCCCAGGGGCGCCCACCCCCTCCATTACTAGGGCAGCCCCCTTCCCTAGAGACGGCCAAGTCACACAAGCAGAGGCACTGTGTTCAAGGGCAGCTGCCGAACTAACTTATCCAGGGACAGCGAAGGGTCTCAAACACGAGGCTTGCGTAAGGAGTGAAAGATTGAGAGTTCGGATCAAAGAAAAAAGCAAGCGAGTGGCGGTGGACGTGGCAGCTGGCCACGGGGCAGCCTCGCGCCACCGCCTCCCGCTGCGCTGAGCCACTCGGCCAGCCAGGACAGTGGGGGAAGGCGCCCACAACGCCCTGAACGCGCACCCATGCGCACGTCACTTCATGGCAGTTGAGGAAACTGTTTAGACACCAGGCTTGCAGCTCTGTGCGTGTCCTAGGAGGTGAACCCCAAAGGGAGGCCGCGTCCGGCAGCGGGGGTTCCTCGGACAATCAGCCGCACAGGCCACTCCTGTTCACGCAGAGGCTGCACACGGGGCTGGACTGAGTGACAGGGCCCGGCCTGCAGAGCACTAACGTCTGACGCCTCGGGCCGAGTGCTCGCGGGAGGGACAGAAGGGCCTGCTGGAACCCGGGCTCTGGAGTCTGCAGACTTGGGGCCAAGCAGAGTCCAGGCTCTCCTGGCCTGGACTGAGGTCAGCTGCCTTCCATTTCAGAGCAGTTGCTGCAGCAACACAGCAAACTGAATGTCCATCTGCTGCTCGCGATCCCGGCCAGGAAGGAACAAGCCCATCCCTGCCGCACACGGGCTGCAGCTCACCACCGGCAACAGGGCATCCGTCAAGACCCCTGGGGAGCAGGACTGAGCCGAGGGCCACAGGCAGTGGCCACACCAGGCGCTCTGAGGCCCAACAGCACATTTAACCTCCCGTTAAAGCCAGCAACTTCCCATCATTCACTGTCCCGAGGGAGCAAAGCTCTGTCCCAAGTGAGACACGGTCTGACTACATAGTGTAGGCTGACCTAGAACTCATGACGCTCGTATCAGGCCCAGGCCCAGCTCCTCATCACAAGTTTGATGCTCCTGGGGGAGTGGACCAGTGTCTGCCGGAACGGCTGCCCCTCCCGGCAGCCAGAGGCCGTGCACGCGCCTCTCCACGCCTCAGCCCATGCCAGCTTCAAAGCAGACCCACCATGGGTAAGGCCAGCATGGAGACCTTCGCATTTGGGGAAGGACCGACCGACACTTGAGACACCAAGGCACAGATGTGTGTGCGGCTGAGGAGCCAGGATGTGGGCCCACCTGCCCCCGTGCTGCTCCGCGCTGCCTCTCTCCTGTCTGGTCCCCTCACCAGACCCAAAGCAAAACAGAGGCCCAGGAACGCTTTCTATACTTCACTGAGCTAGCTTGGGTAAAGCGACTGCTCCGCCACCAGAGCGCTGCACACCTGGGCTGGTAAGCAAACCTCTCTGAGCATCTACATCTGTAAATCGGCTCCCATGTGGTATCTGACATTCCTAGTGAACGAGACAGAGGCGGAGCTCTGCTCCTCTGACTCCTGACCCACAGCCGAGGGCCCGGAGAGGTCTGCCTGGCACAAGGACCACTCGATCCTCCCTGGCACAGACTTCACGCCTGCATCTCTCACCACTTGATCCACCTGGAAGAAATCCAGAAGGTGGAGGGAGTGTCTTGAAGATTCATGTTGGGAAAAGCAACTTTCCTTTCTGAACTGATTACTCCTCGTGCCTTCTGCAGTCAGTGACCCCAACTGGGGGAAGGGCCATCAACAGTAAGGGAGAAGCCGGGCGCCGGTGGCCACGCCTGTCACCCTAGCTACTCAGGAGACTGAGATCTGAGGATCACAGCTCAAAGCCAGCCCCAGGCAGGAAAGTCTGTGAGACTCTGATCTCTAATGAACCACCAGAAAACTGGAAGTGGTGCAGTGGCTCAAGTGGTAGAGCGCTCGCCTTGGTAGAGTGCCCAGGCCCAGAGTTCAAAGAGTAAAGGAGAAACTCAAGGCAAAAGAAGTCCCTTCCAGAAAGCACCACTTCCTAAGTCCTGAATGCCGGTCCTTGCAGCTCTGGGATGGGAGCACTCCCCACAGCCCTCCTGCTCTACGCAGGGGAAACCCACTGGCTGATAAGCGCTCATGTTCCCAAGGGAGCAACAGAGAGAAAGGAAGAGAAGGAAGAGGAGGAAGAGGAGGAAGAGGAAGAGGAGGAAGAGGAAGGGAGTCCAGGAAGTTAAAGCATATCCTTGCCGAAAAATGAAACACGCATGGTCGGCGCAGGCTAGATGTAAGCACAAATGTGAGATTCCGATCTAGTAATCTGCGACTGGAGCTTGTCCCGAGCGTGCCGCTCAGCAGTGAGCACGCACCTGGCACGTAGCACCATACGCAACGAGGATTCAGGCCAGCAAGTCGCTAGAACTTCAGTAGGATGATGTGCAGGGCTAGTTCACCCACAAGAGCGTGGTATCCTATCTGAGGGGACCCTACATCTTTTTATTTGGGAGCACACCAGGTCTATACGACAAAGCTGTCCCTGAGTAATGGACCAGCCGAAAACACCTCCTTTAATACGGCGGCCTGGCTGCTTTATGATCAACCCTAACAAGACACAAACAGGATCCAATACATGTACTACAACGCCAGGAAGAAGGGGCAGCAATGACCGTGACTCTGTCAGCCACAAGACTGCCCCAGACCGGCTCTGCTGCACACAACCTCTGAGGTGGAGGGTCCACAGCACCAACACGAAAGACGAGCTGGCAGGGAAAAGCACATCTTGTCCCCCTGGCAGGAATCCCTTCACGAGTGGTGGCCGGAAGCAAGTTCTAAGGACATGGAAAATGAGACCCACCAAATGAATAGGTAAATAGCAAAGTAATGCTATTACAGAGAACCTCGGCTGCCCCTGCTCCCGCTGGGCAATTAGAACACCACTACAGACCCCGCGTCCCACTGAGGGCGCGGGGCCCTTGGAGTAGAGGGCCAACACCCAGCACTCTGAACCGTGCGGCAGACACCTCCCCTTGTGGGCGCTGCTCTCTGAGCAGGTCACCCAGAAACACTTCCCACCAACTGGCCAGAGGGGTCACAGGTCCTCAGAAGTGTCCCTCTCCTCTGAGACCTTCAATCACATACTGACAGTGTCTAGGCACACAGCGTGGCTGGCCTCTAGCTCATGACCCTCACGGAGCCAGGGGCCTCTGATCTCCCAGTGCTGAGCTAGCTTCACCGGAAGGCTCTACAGTGACTCAGCCTCCCACTGCGAGGCCACGTGAGAGGAGGAGGTGGTGTGAGTCCACTGCCACCGGCATCTAGTGGAAAGTCAACTCGGAAACCCAAAGGCATGCACCAACCATGTCACGTCACACTCGGACTTGAGAAACGACAGCTCTCGGAGTGCCCATTTCTCGCTGGTTTATAAGGCTGAAAAAGGTGCCAGCACTTCATCCTAAAGAATAGTCAGAACCTTTGACAACCTTCCAGAAGGCTTCAAGGTTCCTTTGCAGCTCTTTGGGTAACTGGGCCCACTGCTGACGAGGGAGGCAGGTGAGGGCGCGCCGCAAACCGCAGGGAGGAGGGGCAGGGCAGTGAGTACCTTTCTAACAGACAGAGATCTAGCGGGACTAAAGGTCTGCTCTGTGAGCTCGAGCCCTTCGATAGTTTCCGTACAGTCAGAGAGGGGTGCGTCCTGCAACAGTAAACTGAGTCATCAGAGCACACCAGGCTCAGCCTTAGATACCACCCGAGAGCGCGGGAGGGAGCCGGCTGGGCACATGCAGCAGGACGACAGGCGTGCAGACACCAAACACAAAACTGGGGCCCCAGCAGGGCCATCTACCCTGCACCCTACGCATCAGGCAGAGACAGCGCCTTACACAGTCGCTTACCAGAATGCATATAAATGTGAACCGCATTCACAGCGCCCACCCCTCCACCCAAGCAGCACTTGGTTGCAGACAGGAGTCTGGGCCCCATCCAAGGTTCTTCAACCCACCCTGTGCTAGCACTTACCAAGGCCCCCTGCTGACACCAGGACCCAGTCCCAAAGCTGGAGGCGTTCCGCCCCTTTGCCCCTCACGAAGGCATGCACTACAAGGAGCAGAGCTGGAGGGTGGACACGCCCCACATGCTTAGGCTCAGTCAGGAACTCAGAGATACCAGCTGGGCTCTTTCTATCAGGAGGATTTTTAACAAAGATAACTGCTTGACTAGAATACTTACCTCATGGTGTCATTCGCTCCCGAGAGAGGAGCAACTCTGGAGCAGGCGGTCTGAGCCGCCACCCACTAATGTCACAGACACTCTGAGCGCTCACCTGGACGAGGCTCCTGTCCATCACCACACCACACAAAACCTGGGACTGAGGGCCAGCCGTCTTAATGTCCTGTAAGTTCTGCTCTCGAATCTAAGAAGGGAAAGAGGGAACAAGGGCGTCAGCAATGCAGAAACCCCTCTTGAGTCCCGCCAGTCCCACTGCACACACACTCAGGCCTGGAGACACACAGGGCAGAACTGGCACAGCCTGCATCACTGCCCACGGCCTGCATCACTGCCCGCGGCCTGCACGGTCACTCCCCGTGGCCTGCATCACTGCCCGCGGCCTGCATGGTCACTCCCCGCGGCCTGCATCACTGCCCGCGGCCTGCATCACTGCCCGCGGCCCATACGGTGACTTCCACACCTTCCAGGGGCAGTGGAGTCTCCACAGGACTCAACAAGGGGGACAGTGACCTTGTCAACACCATGGGGCTCGTGACCTGCCATACCAAATGCTGCTCCCAAGCCTCTGAAGGAAGCCTGAGGGCAGGGCAGCTGTAGGGCAGGGCAGCCACCTGTCCCGGCTAGGACAGGCTCCATGGCTCACATCGCAGACTTGCTATTAAGCAAGTATCAGTTCAAGAATTTATTAATAGGGCTGGGAAGGTGGCTCAGTGGTAGAGCGCTTGCCTTGCATGCATGAGGCCCTGGGTTCAATTCCTCAGCACCACATAAGCAAAAAGAAAAAAGCCGGAAGTGGCGCTGTGGCTCAAGTGGTAGAGCATTAGCCTTGAGCTGAAGAGCTGAGGGACAGCGCCCAGGCCCAGAGTTCAGGCCCCACGACCGGACCCAAAAAAAAAGAATTTATTAATAGAGGGTGCTGGTGGTATAGCGCAGGGATAGAGCATGTGTGGAGCATGTGTAAGGCCCTGGGTTTGATCCTGTCACGCATGCACGCACGCACGCACGCACACACCTCTCCCCACCCCAGTTAATCATGAACTTAAGAATCAATAGGGCCCCCCGCTTCTAGTGAACATGGAGGAGAGATGGCTCTGCTCTATGGATGTCCTGTTAGAAGCAGCACATCCCCAGACCCAGTGCAGCAGCACCTCCCGACCCTGCAGCCCAGCTCCTGCTGAAGGCAGACGGCAGCACGCACCTTGTTCCTCATCTCCTGGACCTCTTTTGGGTTAGTGTTCAATGGAACAAACAGGTTAGGGACGGCAGAGGTGGAAGTTCTATGTCCATCCTCTTTAGTCCACTGTAATATCAAGAACAGTTGAAAAGTCAGGATTACGACAAGTAAAAACATCATAACATCCAATCTGTTCACTTGATCTTGTATCTGGTCATGCACTGAACACCACAGAGGACTGAACCAATGACCACGTTTCCTGGGTCACTCAGTAAATCACCATGGGGCAGGATACAGACCCATGAAAACCAGAGGATGTCGGGCTTAACCAGTCATAATGATGGAGACGGGCCACAGAAAGCCAGTCACCACGAGGAGTAGAAAGCAGGCTGAGGACAGCACGAAGCCCGTCGCCCTCCGCCCCTCCAGGGCAGATCCCCACAGAGGACATTGGTTCACCGCCCTGAGAGTGACCCAACACCAAAGCCAACGGAAGCGTGGGATGACAGGGCCATGAGAAGCCGTGAGAAGCCGCCACCCGGGCGGGACGGGCTGCTGCGAGGAAAGAGTGGGCACCACCAACGTTTTGCATGAGAATAAATGGCAGTGTCAGAACGCACTAGATGCATGCTGTTTGAACCCAGGAAAATGACTGTACTAGCATGTGTGCAGTAGCTACCAGCTGGAAAGGTTTGGTGATGTCAAGTATTTTATATAACTTAACACGTTTGAGTATTACAAAAATAACCCTCCAAAATTTGAAGCGCTTTATGAGACCCTAAAGGCCTTTTTAGTATCAGTGCATTTTCTCAGCACCCTGCACCTTCAACTCATCAATTTCCTTTTGGATTCCAAATCAAATATGAGATTTTTTTTTAGTCAAATTTTAATTCCTGGGCATGAAAAGGCACTGAATATTAAAACAAGCCATCTTAGAGAGCAAATGTTGTGCTTTTCCGAACATTTTCGGGAGGCAGTAAGACAGCATAAACCATAGGGCTTTAAAGGAAGCGACAGAACTGGATGCTGAGCCCCTGCGAAGGAGGGCGGGCATGGACATGGGTACTCACTGAGGCTTCTCTTCTCAGATTAAAAACAACTCCAGCATTTTATCAAAAGTAACTTTAGTCAAAACATTAAAACGGCCACCTCAGAAGCTTGAACACATTTGAAAAAATCAACAGTAATTATTGTAAATTAAAGTATACCAACCTGGAATCATGGCATGGAATCTGCTTTACTCCAGAATAAGAAAACAAATATAAATGCTCAGCAGGCCCCCTCTGACAGTACACTGACTAGCATGCCTCCATGACTTGGTCTGTTCCAGGCTGACACTGCCCAGAGCTGCAGCTGCACGCTCTGGAAAGCCGTGGGGCAGGGGAGGACTGGCTGGCCACTCCCATGAATAAGTGAAACCGAAGAAGAAAGGGGATGGGGCTGAGACCGGAAGAAGACAGATGCGCCCCAGGCCCTGAGGTCCCCCACCCAAGTGGCGTGGCTAGCCACGAGCACAGAGGCTGCTAGTCAACCGTGCAGATCAGAAAAACACCAGAACCGCCCGGGAAGACGACGCCCTTTTTTCTTTTTCCTGTAAGGGAAGCTGGGCCCATGTGCCACTCACTGCCTCAGAGCACCGGGGCTGCACCGCTGCCGTCCGGCCTCTGTCCCCTCGGAAGGCTGCTGGACGGGTCTCTCCTACGTGTCAGTGCGGTGCTGGCTACCCTACAGGACATGAAGACCCGTCCTGGGAAGGTGCTAGGCACCTGAGCAATGGGAGCAGCAATAAAACCAGAACAAGCACCCTGGCAGCGTCTGTCGCTGGTGCCTGCAGATGGCCTGCACTGCACTTGGGCCATGCCGCACCCAGCGGGAGCCAGAGGACTCACCACCAAGGCGTCTGCTCACATGCAACAGTCCATGCAGAAGGCAGCTGGCCCGAGCGTTCGGAGGCTTTGGGACAGAGCCAGGAACAAAGCTGAGAGAGGAAGAGGGTCAGCAGAGGGCGGCCAGTGCGCTGGGAGGGAGAACTGCTTAAGAAAACACTACACACAAAGGGGCTGGGCTTGCCGCGCCCACGTACAGGCTCACCACTCAACTACTTTCTCCTGCACGGAGAGTTTGCACACACAAACTGGCGTCAGGAGCGTGCCTGCATTCAGGTCAGCGCATGTGAGTTCTTAGTATCTTTGCTGTGAGTGCAGTCAGGTTATGGGGTGTGCGGAAGCGGCACAGTATCTTAAGCAGTTTCAGACAGACGGTAGCACTGGAATTTAGCTACAGTGTGGACTTTGCTCGGAGGGAAAGCGAGAAGGTTGGGGGGCTCATTAGGCACGGGGGTTCCCAAAGCCTCCGAAGCCGCAGCTGCCCACCTTGCTCTACGAGATCTAACTATGAACAGTAAGTAGGCACAGACCAAGCAGCTGGTAATACAGCTTGGCACGCAGACACCGGACGAGAGAGACTGCAGCAAGGGTTTCACGTGATCGTGTGTAATGTTCGTCCACACCTTAGTCTTCGACTTGGGGCTGCTTCCACTCTGCCCTTCCTCAGACGCTTCATCACCCCGGCCAGAGTTCAGCCATCGGGTCTTCTCTCGCTGCTGCTTCTGAAAACTCTGTCTGAGAGGAGAGCACGTGCCCGAGTCGCCGTCACTAGCGACGGAGCAGCCTGTGACGCTGGCAGGGCCCTCGGCATCACTGTGCTTTTTAGACTTCTCTCTCAGAGCAGGGTACCGGTAGGGGTAGCCTGTGCGATAGCCCTAGGGGACAAAAAAGCAGGAAGGACATCACCCTCCGCTTCCCCAGCCGTGGCTGGAGGCAGCACACACACTACCCTGCAGCTCTACCCTCCAGCGCGAGGCATCGAACGCACACCCCGCATGCCAGGACAGCCTGAGCGGGGACAACACAGCCCCTCCTGACAGCCCCGCAACCTGCCAAAGGCCGCAGCGCGCAGCTCAAGTACGACACTGAGAACAGAAACCAAACAGAAAAATACACACTGGGCGGGCCCCATTTATAAAAACCAAGAAAGGGGCTGGGAAGGCGGTTCAGTGGCAGAGCGCTCGCCTTGCATGCCTGAGGCCCTGGGTTCGATTCCTCAGCACCACATCAGCAAAAAGAAAAAAGCCAGAAGTGGCGCTGTGGCTCAAGTGGTAGAGCGCTAGCCTTGAGCTGAAGAGCTGAGGGACAGCGCCCAGGCCCAGAGTTCAGGCTCCACAACCGGATCCCCCCCTCCCAAAAAAAAAAAAAAAATACGAAAGAGTCAAAAAGCTTTAAAAAGTAACAGTGGATACTCTGCACAAGTATCTACTCCTGGGAGCTTCTGAGGTACTTATCCTATTTTTTATATGGGTGCTGGCTGCACAGTGTATTTGTTTCAAATTTTAACAAACTGAACACTTAAGTGTATGTGTGCACTCCTGTTTATAAGTTCAAAAAATATTAAAACTGAGCTGGGTACCAGTAGCTCGTATCTGTGAAGCTGAGATCCAGAAGATAGTAGTTCAAAGCCAGCCTAGAGAGAAAAGTCTATGAGATTCTGTCTCCTATATTACCAGCACCAGTTGAGTATGCCAAGCTACATGATCTCAAGATTCTAATATTGTCAAAAAATTAAAAATAGATGGATCTGGGTTCAAACCCAACCCAGGCAGAAAAGTCAGTGAGACTATCTCCAATTAACCAGCAAAATGCCAGACTAGAGGGTGTTGTCCAAGTGGTTGAGCATGAGCTATAAGCAACAAAGCCAAACAAGAGCTTGAGGCCCTGAGTTTAAGCATCAGTATCAACACAAAACAAAACACATGACTTGCTTGCTGCTGACTACAGGTTTCACTAATAAGTAAACTACTTTAAAATACTTTTTTTTTTTTGGGTCCGGTCGTGGGGCCTGAACCCTGGGCCTGGGCGCTGTCCCTCAGCTCTTCAGCTCAAGGCTAATGCTTACCACTTGAGCCACAGCGCCACTTCCGGCTTTTTTCTTTTTGTTTATGTGGTGCTGAGGAATTGAACCCACGGCCTCATGCTTGCAAGGCAAGCGCTCTACCACTGAGCCACCTTCTCAGCCCTACTTTAAAATACTTTAACCAGGCACTGGTGGCTCACACCTGTCATCCTAGCTACTTAGGAGACTGGGATCTGAGGATCACAGTTCAAAGCCAGCCCAGGAAAAGAAAGTCCGTAAGATTCTTATCTCCAATTAACTACCAGAAAGCTGGAAGTGGTGCTGTGGCTCAAGTGGTAGAATGCTTGTTTTGAGCTGAACAGCTCAGGGACAGCACCCAGGCCGAGAGTTCAAGCCACACAACTGGAAAAAACAAAAACAAAAAACTTTTAAATCAGTTTAAAGATTGTAATAATCTTTAGGTAAGACCAAATAAGCAAACGTGTAACAGTTTTCCACAGCTGTTTTCAAATTCAGTTTTCAACTCTGCCTCATGGTCATTTGCCAGTGCTATAAAAGATTCTCTCTCTCTCTCTCTCTCTCTCAAAACACACACTTCCACTGCACCAAGTTGCGTGATCACTTCCCCACAGACAGCATCTCCAAGGAAAAGGATGCTATCCTCAACTCTGCTTCCCAGGCCTTGGCACTCGGAAGATGTGGCAGACAGACTACACAGTGGCCCCCAACGGCCCAGACCTGGTGATTGACACCCTGCCCTGAGCACAGACCTCAGCCACACAACACAAGCGCCCGTCTTGTGCATGTCCTGCCCTCACTGGCTCTGATGACATAAGTCACTGTGAACACTGCCGCTGTAAAACAGATCCTCCGGAAACAGACCCACCACAACCGACCCTTCAGATGCTAATCCAACCCTGCGAACAAGCTGCCTGCAGCCTCCCCAATCCCTATGTTTCAATCAGTCATCTCCACTGCTGACCCATGGAAGCCATGAAGTACTAAACGGTGCACTGTTCCCTGTACCAAGCTCCGGATGCTTGGTTATACAATGAAATGTAGATGGAGCACGTGTTGGGCAGTGCCAGCTAAATGACCTAATAGCCTCAAACTTCGACATGGTCTGAGTGGTCACAATATATGACAAGAAAACTTAGCCTGAAAAAGACATGCAAGGACAGGACACCTGGACACGCACAGCCCTCAGACACGCTGCTCTTAAAAAACCTAGAAACCCAGGCCCAGGAATCAAACAGTGGGATGTGGTGGCACGTACCTATAATCCCAGAATGCTGAAGGGTGAGACAGAAGAAACCTAAGTTTAAGACCAGCTTGGGCTAGACAGTGGCACCGTCTCAAGGAAAAATAAATAAAAGAAAAAACAACAACAAAACAAAAAAAACATTTCTCCAGGAATCCTTTCTCCCTTTGCGTTGTGCTCCACTCTGAGGGCCATTTTATTATGAATCACTCCTATGACACATTTTTTTTTTAAAGGCAAGAGTCAAGCCAGGTGCAGCACAATCCTGGCTCCTCTGGAGGCTGAGTTCATGGGATCACAGTTCAAGGTCACTCTGCAAAAAATGCACCAGACCCCATCTCAACTTAAGAAAAAAAGCTGGTAGGGAGCCGGTGGCTCACACCTGTAATCCTACCTACTCAGGAGGCTGAGATCTGAGGATTGCAGTTCAAAACCAGCCCGGGCAGGAAAGCTTCTGTAAGACTTTTATCTCCAATAAACCACCAGAAAACCAGAAATGGTACTATGGCTCAAGTGGTAGAGTGCTACCTTGAGCTGAAGAGCTGAGGCACAGAGCCCAGGCTGAGTTCAAGGCCCATGACCGACACAAAGTTTTTAAAAAAGAAAAGGAAAAAAGCTGAGTACAGCAGTGCACATGTGTCATCCTAGCTACATAGCAAGTTTAATGAGACTCTATTAAAAAACTAAAGCCACAAGGGCTGGGTGTGGAGCTCAAGTGGTTATTAGAGTGCCTGCCAGGCAAGTTTAAGGGCCTGAATTCAACTCCCACTATCACACACTCACACTCACACACACACTCTCTCTCTCTCTCTCTCACACACACACACACACACACACACAGAAGGTGCCTCTAGAGTCATTTTTTTTTGTATCTTTCCTCAGAAAGACAGTGGCAATTTTCCATTTATGAGCATGCTTATTACAAGACAATAAAAGATAATTCTACCACAGAACATTCTATCCTGAGTATTTCTAGCTTCAGCTTGCTCACCGAGCAAGGACTGAGCAGTCCTCCAGGGCTTCAGGGTAAAGTCCTGGGACTAGCAAATATCCCTTGATCATAACAGGTACCAACCAACCTCCCTTTATCAGCTCCTTCCCTTTAAATGCTGATAAACCAAAACTGGAAATAATGTTCAGACCTCTGAATGCTGTTTGCTCATATTGGGGAGAGAAGGTATATATAGATAGATAGATAGATAGATAGATACATATCTTAGACTATGATCAGTGATTGCCGCATACCTTCTTCTTAAGAACTACAACAGGGGCTGGGAAGGTGGCTCAGTGGTAGAGCGCTTGCCTTGCATGCATGAGGCCCTGGGTTCAATTCCTCAGAACCACATAAGCAAAAATAAAAAAGCCGGAAGTGGTGCTGTGGCTCAAGTGATAGCGCGCTAGCCTTGAGCTGAAGAGCTGAGGGACAGTGCCCAGGCCCAGAGTTCAGGCCCCACAACCAGACCCCCCCCCCCAAAAAAAAAGAACTACAACAGCACTCTATATTAAGAATTATGTATAACTATTAATAATCTGAGAATATTGAAGACATGGATTTAAAATGCATTTTTAATGGCTTTTTTGGTGTTGTTGTGGTTGTTGGTGGTAGTTGTGGGGCTTGAACTCTGGGCTTGGCACTGTCCCTGAGCTCTTCAGCTTAAGTTAAGCGCTCTACCACTTGAGCCACAATGACACTTCCAGGATTCCCATAGTTAATTGGAGATAAGAGTCTCACACCTGTAATCCTAGCTACTCAGGAGGCTGAGATCTGAGGATCAAGGTTCAAAGCCAATCCGGGCAAGAAAGTCTGCGGGCAAGAAAGTCTGCGAGACTCTTATGGCACTGTGGCTTAAGTGGTAAAGTGCTAGCCTTGAGCTAAAGTGCTGAGGGACAGCACTCAGGCACAGAGTTCAAGCCCCATGACCAACAGAAACCAAAAATCAAACAAAAGCACCAACATTTAGCCTAGCTACTTAGGGGGCTAAGATCTGAGGATTGTGGTCTGAAGCTAGCCCAGGCAGGGTAGTCTGAGATTCTTATCCCCTGTTAACAACTAAAAAGCCAGAAGTGGAGCTGTAGCTCAAGTAGTGGAACACTAGCCTTCAGCACAAAAGCTCAGGGACCCCCAGGCCCTGAGTTGAAGTCCCAGCAGCTACATAACCCCTCCCCCCCTGTTTTTCAGAACAAGCTTTCTGTCAGGTGCTGGTGCCATTCTTACCAGATTGTCAAGCATCCGCATGAGGGCTTCAAATTCCTGCTCCCCAATCAGCCACCGGGGGGATGAGTTGGTGCCATCCCCTTCTGGAGACTCTGGGGGACGGGGCTTGGCCCTGTACTTCTCAGGATCCAGCAAGACCAAGTTGTCTGGTCCTCCAGCACTGGCCAGAGTGCGAACCTTTTCAAAACAAGCAAACAGTAGGCTCAGTTCCACATGGAGATGGAGAGGTACTCTGTGGGTTTCTTTTTTTTTTTTTTTGCCAGTCATGGGGCCTGAGCTCTGGGCCTGGGCACTGTCCCTCAGCTCTTCAGCTCAAGGCTAGCACACTACCACTTGAGCCATAGCACCACTTCCAGCTTCTTTTTTTCTGCTTATGTGGTGCTGAGGAATCGAACCCAGGGCCTCATGCATGCAAGGCAAGTGCTCTACCACTGAGCCACCTTCTCAGCCCACTCTGTGGGTTTCTAAAGAAAGCAAATCCCTAGATTGTAAGCTGGACAATAACAGCACTGGTCCATACTAAGTGCTCACACTTAGCAGAGGAACAGGGACACAAAGCGCCTTTGTGGTTAGGCCACAGCCATTAGTCGGTGACCAGTGTGGGCCTGGTCTAGGTGGGCCAGATGGGGTGTCACAGGCCAGGCCTGCGACTCTCCACCTCTGGGCTCCAGATGAGTCAAAAGGTGTACGAGGGAGGGTCAAACAGGGTCATGTACATAGGACATACTTGAGAGCCTGGCACACACTATGCCTTAAATGCTAGCCACTTATATATGTGAAAAATGAAAAACAAGACAGTCCAAAGCCTAGAACCATTTAATTTAAATCACTGAATTGGAATTTGTCCCTCTCAAGTTCCAATCTATGAGCTCATCATTAGCGGAGAGAGCTCAAAGGTTCAGCCTGCTAGACAAGTATCAGAAAATCTACATGAATCCTGGAAATGGCCCAGACCGGATGGACTGCCATCACCTACCTGGATCTCACACGCGACCACGAGGTTATGGATGTAATAGAAGGCCTCCTCGACACTCTCTCCAACTGACACGAGCCCGTGATTCCGGAGAATAAGAACCTGAGGGGAAAGTGCAGCTCTGTGGATCTAGGTGAGAAGATGGATACTCCCCGTGCTCCTCCTCCATTATTGAACTCCTGATGAGATGCCCACTGACCTTGCTTTTAGGCCCGAGATTTTTCTGAATCAAGACTTTTTCCTCCTCATCTACCAGAATGCCGTGGTAGTCATGATAAGCCACTTCTCCAAGAGAGAGCGCCTCTGGGGAGATGGGCAAGAGCCCACACTTCATCGCGGACACCTAGAGACCATGGCAAGACCAGGTGGGAAGAAAAGCCAGAGCTAAGCTGAAACGCTCCAGGCGAGCGCGCTACCACTGGAATCACAGCGCCACTTCTGTTTTACTTCTGCTTATGTGGTGCTGAGGAATCGAACCCAGGGCCTCATGCTTGCAAGGCAAGCACTCTACCACTGAGCCAGCTTCCCAGCCCCAAGCTGAAACTCTTAACACACACAGAGATACAACAAAAGAGGTGATATTCTATTTTGTTTTCTTCGTGGAAATAATGAACCGATAAACTTTTGGGGCCCCATCAACACCTGGAAGAGCATAGGAGAAAATCCACATCAGAGACTTTCCACTGATTGTGGATTCTGTGCAAGGCGGGCACAGGGAGTGTGGCCGGGCACAGAGGCGCATGACAGGTCCTGTACACCACCACTGTCTCCAAGGACAACTGCACATGCTGGAAGACTGGTGCACTTTTCTCTTAGGCTGTATTTAAGAACATAAAAACTAGATTAAAATTTTGAGGACAATCATACTTGATGATTTTTCTACACTTGTTTAAGTGAATCTTCAAGTAAAAAAATCTAAGTGTTTATGTTATTTCTGAAAAATCTCCTAAAATGCCCCATGTTGGCCTTAAGATATGATCATTTTGGGGCTGGGAAGGTGGCTCAGTGGTAGAGCACTTGCCTTGCATGCATGAGGCCCTGGGTTCGATTCCTCAGCACCACATAAGCAGAAAAAGCCAGAAGTGGCGCTGTGGCTCAAGTGGTAGAGCTCTAGCCTTGAGCTGAAAAGCTGAGGGACAGCGCCCAGGCCCAGAGCTCAGGCCCCATGACTGGCAAAAAAAAAAAAAGATATGCTAATTTTGAAGATCTTGTACAGAATGCAGCTTTAGGTTTCTAGACTCATGATTCAAATATTTCCGATGGGAACAATTCCAGAGAAAACTTAATTTAAGGGGCTAGGAAGGTGGCTCAGTGGTAGAGCGCTTGCTTTGCATGCCTAAGGCCCTGGGTTCGATTCCTCAGCACCACATGAGCAGGAAAAAAAAGCTGGAAGTGGTGCTGTGGCTCAAGTGGTAAAGCGCTAGCCTTGAGCTGAAGAGCTGAGTCCCAGAGTTCAGGCCCCACGAGCGGACCCAAAAAAAAAGATTAAAAAAAAAAGAAAAGTTAATTTAAAAATATAATGCCACATTTAATTCCTTTCCTCCTATCAGCTCTCATACGAGAAATTTCCTAGCTGGAGGTGACAGTCGCTGTGGTCCCAACATTTAGGAAGATGAGACTGAGGACTGTTGAGTTGAAGGCCAGCTTGGAACACACAGCGGGAGCCCATCTTAAAATCAATTACCAAAGAAAAGGAAAGAAAAAGGAATTTCCTCATCAAGCTCAAGCAAAAACTTATTTTGCACTGTTTGTAAAGTACTAGGAACTTCCAGGCAGGTCCTTGTGCGGAGCGAGCACTCCCTCACTAAGCTACACACCCAGGCCTGACAACCTTTTTCCTTTTGTCTTAGAGCTGGTCACCATGTATCCCAGGCTGTCTGGGACTGGTAATCCCCATGCCTCTCCCACTTAGTGCTGGCGGCGTAAACTACCACGCCTGGCCCTGACAGCAAACACTGCAGGGTAGCTGTTGAAAACCACATTCTCAAACCTGTTCAAATGGTTCTTAAAACTTTACAGCCGGACATCAGTGGCTCACGCCTGTAATCCTAGCTATTCAAGAGGCTGAGATCTGAGGACCACGGTTCAAAGCCAGCCCAGGCAGGAAAGTCTGTGAGATTCTTTTTTTTTTTTTTTTTTGTCCGGTCGTGGGGCCTGAACTCTGGGCCTGGTCGCTGTCCCTGAGCTCTTCAGCTCAAGGCTAGCACTCTACCACTTGAGCCACAGCGCCACTTCCGGCTTTTTTCTTTTTGCTTATGTGGTGCTGAGGAATCAAACCCAGGGCCTCTGGCATGCAAGGCAAGCGCTCTACCACTGAGCCACCTTCCCAGCCCCGTCTGTGAGATTCTTATCCACAATTAACCAGCAGAAAACTGGAAGTGGTGCTGTGGCTCAAATAGTAGAGCACTAGCCTTGAGCTGAAAAGCTCAGAGACAATGATCCAGAGTTCAAGTCCCATGACCAAGAAAAAAACAAGGAAAAAAAAGAAAGAAAAAAAGGAAAGGAAATCTACAGATATTTTAGTGGTTGGAAAGCATTCTTTGGGAAAAAAATGACATCATCCAAAGAATGACATATCTGATAACATTCTTCTGTCAATATCAAAACCATATGTTCAGCCAGGGGTGGTGGTCCATGACTGTAATCCCAACATTCAGAAAGCTGAAGTTGTAGGAGAGAACTTGTCTTTAAAATAATATTAAACTTGGGCTGGGAAGGTGGCTCAGTGGTAGAGCGCTTGCTTTGCATACCTGAGGCCCTGGGTTCTAATCCTCAGCACCATATAAGCAGAAAAAGCCGGAAGTGGTGCTGTGGCTCAAGTAGTAGAGCGCTAGCCTTGAGCTGAAGGGCTGAGGGAAAGCGCCCAGGCCCAGAGTTCAGGCCCCAGAACCGACAAAAATGAAAAAAAAAAATAATATTTTAAAGGTATGTTTAAAAGTGAAATAAATAAACCAGAGCTAACATTCACCTAAACACTCCAGGCAGCTCTCTGTGTGTGGTGGTGGTGCACACAGCCCCAGCTCCTCAGGAGGCTCAGGTGAGAGGATCACTCGAGCCTAGAAGCTGAAAGTCAGTCTGGCAACAGACCAAATCTCCCAAGATGAACAAAAACCAACTCATCCAGACAGATGAAAATACATTCCTAGTGAGTGAGGACACACACTAGCATGCGTCACACACAGCCCTCCGTGCTGGGGACCAGTCCCAGGTCCTTGTGCATGTTGGGTGAGCGCTCTACCACTCAGCCTCAGGGCCCCCAATGTTCTTACGGTAAAAATGGTGATAAAAAGCACTCCTTCCCTCCGAACAGACTACTGTACACGCACGTGCCCCTCCTTAGGACAGCTTACTTCTACCAGAAGAAAGAACTTGCAGGATAACCCAAGTAGGCTCTGGGAGCATCTAGCTGTGGCAGCCGGTCTCCTGACAGCCACACCAACTATGTCTCTGCCCAATCGTGATCCACTGGGGGCAGCTGGGTAGGATGGTCTCCCTCACCCCTAGCTGGTCAACATGCCAGTCTAGTCCCTTGCATCGCCTAGACCCCTCCCTGTGTGTCCAGCATCATCCACCCCACACCTGTCCTGCTCCTCTTGTCTCAGTCCCTGTTTGCTGCTGTCATTCCGCAGCCCTTTATGATTCTCTGAGTGTTAAGTCTAATGGACATGGTCAGATGTGTTATAGCTTTTACAGAAATTAGGTAACAAGTGATTTCCTTAAGAGAAAAAGGGCTGGGAAGACAAAGTGTTTGCCTGGCATGTGATGCTAGCACATGAAGCCCTGGGTTCAGTTCCTCAGAACCACATACATAGAAAAAGCTAGAAGTGGTGCTGTGGCTCAAGTGGGAGAGTGCTGGCCTTGAGCAACAAAGAAGCTCAGGGACAGTGCCCAGGCCCTGAGTTCAAACCCCAGGACTGGCCAAAAAAAAAAAGTTATTTTAAGAAAGTCAGTGCCGCTCTCTGCTCTTTTCTAGCTCTTTCTCAGATCTTTCCTTCTTTTTCTCTTTTTCTAGCTCTCTTCTCTTTCTCAGCCCTCTCTTTCCCAGCTCTCTCTCTTTCCCAGGCCTTTCCCAGCCATGTGGAGGGCCAACATGGCCTGGTGCCAGCCGGAACGATGAATAAACCTACCCCTTACCTGAAAGAAAAAAAAAAAAAGAAAGAAAGAAAGAAAGTCAGTGCCAGGTGCTGGTGGGTCATGCCTGTAATCCTACTCAGGAAACAGATCTGAGGATCACGGTTCAAAGCCAGCCTGGCCAGGAAAGTCCATGAGACTCTTATCGCCAATTAACCACCAGAAAACCAGAGGTGGAACTGTGGCTTGAAGTGGTAGAGTGCTAGACTTGAGTAAAAAAAAAAAAAAAGCTCAGGGATAGTGCCCAAAGCCTGGAATTCAAGCAGGAAGGGAGGGAGAGAGGGAGGGAGGGAGGGAGGGAGGGAGAGAAAGTGAAGGAAGTGTGAAACTCTCCAAATGCAGTTCTGACACAGGAGGCTGAGGCCGCACACTCACCGCAGCCCCGGCCGGTGTGTGAATGTGCACGATGCACCTCACGTCTGGGCGTGCTGCATAGATTGCAGAATGCAAGGTGAAGCCAGCCTGGTTGACGCCCAGGTTAGTGCTTCCACGATCCACAACATCTCCTTGAAGATTGATCTTAACCTGAACATAAACAAAAATTAGAAGGACTCAGAGTTACCCTAGATGGGAACTAAAAGCCAAGGTCAAAGTGTTCGGAACTTCTTTCAGAGGTTCTTCTCTAAATAATCACAATGTCCTCTGTTTGACTTTATGCTCCCATTTCTTTCTTTTTTTTTTTTGGTCTGGTCGTGGGGCCTGAACTCTGGGCCTGGGCGCTGTCCCTCAGCTCTTCAGCTCAAGGCTAGCGCTCTACCACTTGAGCCACAATGCCACTTCTGGCTTTTTTCTTTTTGCTTGTGTGGTGCTGAGGAATCGAACCCAGGGCCTCATGCATGCAAGGCAAGTGCTCTACCACTGAGCCACCTTCCCAGCCCCTGTGCTCCCATTTCTTGAATCTCGACACAGTCTCACACAGCTGGCTGTGCGCCCGTGTCTTGGATGTCATGCGATCCATGCAGATGGCTGCCAAGGAGAAGGCGTTCTCACCAAGCTGGAGGCCGCCACTTCGCTGTAGAGAAGCCCAAAAGGCACAATGAGGAAGTGTTCCTGCTCTGTGTTCACTCTGGCCTGTGGGGAAAATGACTTGAGTTAGCCCAAAAGTCCAACTGGAGTTACCTGGGTCTCATTCAGGCTACTAATTCCTGGGTGAACCCCACAAGGAGGTACCTGAACACAGAGACTGTTACTAAGCTAAGAGGCACTGGGACGTTACCTTCTTATAGTGTATAAGCAAATTAACTATTAAGTACATTTGCTATTAGTCATATTAGTGCAAACTGACTTTACAGAGAACCAACAGGTCAACATTACTGACCTCTGAGGTCAAATGGTGTCACTCCTCAGGGAAGTAACATGGACAGAAGAAAATAACATTTCAGAAAAGTTTACCTTGGCCTGTCCACTGCACCCGCCGCGTGGAGACCCTCCGCCCGCCTGTCCACTGCACCCTCTGTGTGGAGACCCTCCACCCGCCTGTTCACTGCAGCCTCTGTGTGGAGACCCTCCGCCCGCCTGTCCACTGCACCCTCTGTGTGGAGACCCTCCGCCTGCCTGTTCACTGCACCCTCTGTGTGGAGGAGAGACCCTCCACCCGCCTGTCCACTGCACCCTCTATGTGGAGACCCTCCGCCTGCCTGTTCACTGCACCCTCTATGTGGAGGGGAGGCCCTCCGCCCGCCTGTTCACTGCAGCCTCTGTGTGGAGACCCTCCGCCCGCCTGTTCACTGCAGCCTCTGTGTGGAGACCCTCCGCCCGCCTGTCCACTGAACCCTCTGTGTGGAGGAGAGACCCTCCGCCCGCCTGTCCACTGCACCCACCGCGTGGAGGGGAGACCCTCCAGCCACTTGCAGCCCAATTCTGCAGAGATCACCAACACATTCCCTATGCAGAGTGTGGCCACTGGGAGGCCCAGTCAAGACCTTCATTTAGCCTCCCTTGGAGTGTAGGGTGGAGCTGTGTCTGTACAAGCACCTGCTAGGTTCTGAAGGAGCCAAATCCTGAGACCATCCATCACTACCAGGACAGAAAAGCCAAGCTACCAGCCAGACACTGGAGGGAATGATGCTCGGGGCTGCCCTGGCTGCACCTCCTCTCCCAAAGGCTTCTCTAAATCAGATGCAAATCTAAAACAAAGCTTGACTTCAGACCCCTCTCTCATCTGCCAACATACTGATAGCACTTCTAAATCCTCTTAGGAGGAAATCCCTCTGACCCTCTTTCAAAGAAAGGCAGCATGACCTTGTGCACTGACAACACTATCACTACACACCCTATCTCTTCAGTGTCCATGAAGTCATAAACAATAAACCAAAAGCGGAAAAAAGCCAAAAAACCTCTCTCCCTCTTCCCTTCTCCCTCTCCCTCTCTGTTGGTTGTGAGGCTTGAACTCAGGGTCTGGGTGGTGCCCCTGAGCCTCTCTGTGCTCAAGTCTAGCACCCTACCACTTGAGCCACAGCAATGCTTCTAGTTTTTTGAGTGGCTAACTGGAGATAAGAGTCTCACAGAGACTTTTCTTCCTGGGCTGGCTTTGAACCAGATCTCAACCTTCTGAGTAGCTAGGACTACAGGCATAAGCCACTGGAACTCGGCTTTGAAATACTTCTAAAAGTTATTTTTCCTCAAAGATTCTCTAGTTCTAGTTCATAAGATCTAAGAAGCACTTTGAGTATCTTGGGGTTTTTTTCTTTTTCTTTTTCGTTATTATAAAGGTGATGTATAGAAGGGTTATTATTTCACAAGTCAGGGTATTTCTTTTTAGTCCGTATTAAGATCCAACTAGAACACTCAGAGAAAAATAAACACTTAACAAACATTCCAATTTTGCCAATTCCTAAATGATTGCGGGGGGAGGGGGGAGGCGGGAGGGGGGATGAGGTTTAAATGAGTCAAAGTTATTAAAGTAAAATCCATACAGGGCTAGTGGTAAACAGCATTTTCAAATTTACCAAGAATATGAAGGAAGCTACAATTAAAACCATGAGATACATTTCCTTTTTAGCCATAACATCCTCATGGAACTAATTTTTAGGTAACCGTTCACTATCAAATCTCTAGAATGTTCTAACAGGTAGGAGACACAGAGAGATCAGCAACCTCCCAGCTGGCACCAAGAACTGAGCCAGCACCTAAGTCAGGTTACCTGGACCCACTAACCAAGTACCAAAATGCCCGAATGAGTTCCTGTTGACAATTTGAGTGCAGTGATTTCAGCTCAGGTAAGGCGTTCACCCTACTGGCTGGCTAGAAGGCTGTTTCCAGCACATTCTTGGTCCTGCATTGCCCTCGGAAGGATGAAGGCCTCTGGGTAGCCAGACAATAACAAGAGGTGCACACTCCGCACCACCTTGAGTGCACCTCATGCTCAGCATACATTTGGGAAAGTCACCGCAGCAGCAGACTCAGGTGGGACCTAGACTAATACCCCGGAGCTTTAACAGTCCTCATTTTGGAAAAACATGCGTGAGCACAGAGAGGGTTCAAGCAACACAAGCAGTTTCTAGCACTGCTTGCCTCAGGAGAGACAGGAGTATTGGCAGGATTATAAATTTTCTTTAGACATAAAATATCAATTAGAGACATGAAATAACAAAACAAAACACAACAAGTGATTGGAGCAACTTTACAAAGAAAAAAAGCTATTATGAAGGGAGGGAAGGAAGGAGGAAGACAAGCTAATACCTTAAGAATCTAAAAAGAGGGCTGGGAAGGTGGCTCAGTGGTAGAGCGCTTGCCTTGCACACATGAGGCCCTGGGTTTGATTCCTTAGCACCACATAAGCAGAAAAAGCTGGAAGTGGTGCTATGGGTCAAGTGGTAGAGCGCTAGCCTTGAGCTGAAGCCCTGAGGGACAGTGCCCAGGCCTGGAGTTTAGGCCCACAACCAACAAAAAAAAAATCTAAAAAGACAGAAGGCAATGGAGTTGCAGCAAAGAGGACAGCTGTGGTCACAAGCAGGGCACTGTAACAGGCAGTGAGACACAGCATGACTATGAATATCAGTCACAGCTCCCATATTTTCTGTGCCACGATGAAGTCATTCTTCTCAGAGAAAACCAAGAGGGTTTTTGTTTTGTATTGTACGTAATACTGGTGATTAAACCCAGGATCTCATGCATGCTAAGCAAAGACTCTTTTATCACTGAGTTACACTCCCAAGCCATTAAAAAAAATTTTTTAAGTTACTTTGGGCTGGGTGCCAGTGGCTCACAACTATAATCCTAACTACTTAGGAGGCTAAGATCTGAGGACTGAGGTTCGAAACCAGCTTTGGCATGAAATTTTGTGAGAATCTTATCTCCAATTAAGCACCAAAAAAGGCAGCAGTGGAGCTGTGGCTCAAGTAGTAGAGTGCTAGTCTTGAGCAAAAGAGCTCAGACAGAGCACCCAGGCCCTAAATTCAAGCCCCAGGACCAGCACACACACATGCACATGCATGTGCACACAGGCACACACGTTACTTTGAGATGGTATCTTGCTACAATTACTCAGATTGGCCTTGAAGTTGCAGTCCCCTGCCTCCTGGCTCAGCCTCCTGAGTAGCCGGGATTATAAAGCATGCACACTGCATCTGCAGATGTTTCAAGGACAGCAGTGCAGTCTATCAACGCCCTTGCAAGAGAAGCCTGCCCTGTAGCTGGTGTGCGGGGCTGAGGTTGTAAGTCTACAACCCCTGGGGTTGTAAATCTTTGCAGAAAGTCCACAGGTTTTGTTGTGAGGCTTTCTGCAGAAGGATCTGTTGCTCACAGGGAGGGGCAGCACAGGATTGGCAAAAGTTGGAATGGAAGGATGGGCCATGAAAGTAAGGTAGACCAAGGAGAGCAAATAACGCACTATGGGTTGGGATGTGGGAGGGACCATCTACAAGCCAGGACCCGAGCTTCACACTAACAGACCCATTAGATGCCTGGTACAGAGAAAGCAGATACCCAATAATGTTTGCTACAGGAATGAATCGAAGAAAAGAGAGGTCCTGATATTACACAAAAATGGTTTAATCTGCAGAAGACTGGTCAGTCCAGAAGGAAAGATTTCTACTCTTAGAACTGCCAAACTGGGGGCTGAGAATGTGGCTTGGTGGTAGAGTGCTTACCTAGCATGCATGAAGCCCTGGGTTTGATTCCTCAGTACCACATAAAGAAAAAAATCTGAAGTGGCGCTGTGGCTCAAGTGGTAGAGTGCTAGCTTTGAGCAAGAAAAGCTCAGGGACAGTGCCCAGGCCCTGAGTTCAAGCCCCAGGACTGGCAAAACAAAAAACAAAAAAAACCTGCCAAGTTGGGAGCTGGTGGCTGACACCTGTAATCCTAGCTACACAGGCGACTGAGATCTGAGGGTTGTGGTTCAAGGCCACAAAACTTCCCATGAGACCCTTATCTCCAATTAACCACTCAATATCCAGAGATGGTGCTGTGGCACAAGTGATAGAGTGCTAGCCTTGAGGCTCAGGGACAGCACCCAGGCCCTGAGTTCAAGCCCCACAACTGAGAGAAAACAAATAAACCAAAACTGCCTGTAACTCAGCGTATACCCACTGGTTAGATTAGCATGCCAAAAGTAAGTTTTGTTTTGTTTTTAATCTTTTGTCAGGTTAGAGCTTGAACTCGGGGCCTCGGTGCTGTCCCTGAGCCTCTTTGTGCTCAAGGCTAGTGCTCTACCACTATGAGCCACAGCATCACTTCCGGTTTCTGAGTGGTTAATTGGAGATAAGAGTCTCTCATAAGGGGGGCTGGGAAGGTGGCTCAGTGGTAGAGCACTTGCCTTGCATGCCTGAGGCCCTGGGTTCGATTCCCCAGCACCACATAAGCAAAAAGAAAAAAAGCCGGAAGTGACGCTGTGGCTCAAGTGGTAGAGCACTAGCCTTGAGCTGAAGAGCTGAGGGACAGAGCCCAGGCCCAGAGTTCAGGCCTCATGACCGGACCCAAAAAAAAAAAAGAATCTCATAAGGACTTTTCTGCCAGGGCTGGCTTTGAACCCCAATCCTCAGATGTCAACCTCCTGAGTAGCTCAGATTACAGGTGTGAACCACCAGCACCCAGCTAAGAAAGAAGTTTTAAAGAACTACTTTACATATGAAGGCACAAGGATTATGAGTTGAGGCCAGTACAAGCAAGGGTAGTAGTAAGACTCAAAAACAAAAAGGGCTTCGGGGATAGCTCAAGTGGTACTTATCTAGTGTGGACCCAATCCTCAATACCTCAAAAATATTTTTATAAATTGTGGAGTGTAGTGGTGCTCACCTCTAATCCCAGCAGCCTGGGAGGCAGAGATCAGAAGGATCCAAATTTGAGGCAAGCCTTAGCAAAACAGCAGCAAGACCTCTACCTCAGCACATAAGCTGACATGAGTCCAGTTATGTGAAACTCTTAAGTAGGAGGATTTCAATCCAAGGGTGGCCCTGGACAAAATTATAAGGCCCCAACCAAAAAAAAGTGACTAAGGCAAAAAAGGGCTGAAGGCAGGGCTCAGGTGCTTATAAGCCCCAAGCTCTTAATTCAAACTCCATTACGGCCAAAACACACACACACACACACACACACATTCACACTCACACTCACGCACGCAAGTTACTGTTCTGATAAGCTAGTACTTGCCAACTCCTCCATTCTTATTTTCTGTAGCAAGACATCTAAGAAGGCTTTCTAAGACTCACTCACACTAGGCCCACATCCCTTCTTCAGAACAAAGGAGCTGGTAACAGTTCGCTCATCCCTCAGTTACTACTCACTGTGATGTGATTGTAGATAAGCTGAGACCACCCGAAGAGATCGGCCAGTCTATAAAATGCTGCCAGCTTGCACCGCAGTAATTTTTCTCCTTTGTCATATGCGATGGAGTCAGACCCTCTGAGGTCATTCACAGGAGTCACCATACCAAGACCTGAAATCAAAACAAAATGCAAATACTAACACTCCTTGTCCAATGCAGATCAAATAATGGTTCTAAGGAAGTTATCTTCCATAGTAGACCATAAAGTCTCAATGATGCTCTTCAGTATTCATGTATAACTTAGAAATAAGTAGCAAAGGTCTGGGAAGATGGCTCAGTGGTAGAGCAATTGCCTTGCATGCCTGAGGCCCTGGGTTCGATTCCTCAGCACCACATAAGCAAAAAGAAAAAGCCGGAAGTGGCGCTGTAGCTCAAGTGGTAGAGCACTAGCCTTGAGCTGAAGAGCTGAGGGACAGTGCCCCGGCCCAGACCGGACCCAAAAAAAAAATCTTTAATTATATTCTTCATTTCTTTTTTTTTCTTTTTGCTTATGTGGTGCTGAGGAATCGAACCCAGGGCCTCAGGCATGCAAGGCAAGCGCTGTAGCACTGAGCAAACTTCCCAGCCCCTAATTAAAGATTCTTGATTACATTAAAAAAAAACTTTGAGAAGGTATACAAGATTTAAAATAGATTTCAAAATAAATCTCTAGCTGTATTTGCCTGGGAAAGAGGGTAGACAGAAAAAAACCACAATATGCCATGAAGCACTAACACATCAGCAGAGGGATGATAGGGAAATGGTGGCAGCAAATTCTTGAACGGAGATGAAATGCAGTCTTTGAAAGATACAACCTACCAAAGCTCACTACAAAAGAAACAGATACCCTGAACAGCCCTATTTCTATTACCCTGAATTTGTAGTTTCCATAAAGAAAACTCTAGGTCCAAATGGTACTGTGAATTCAAACATTTAAGGAAAAAATAACACTAGTTCTATACAAACTCTTCAAGATACTCACTACTGTGTGAAGTCAGCATTACCTTGCTACCAAAACCACACAAAGTCATTATAAGATACAAAAAAAGCCAAAAGCAGACCAATGCTTCTCATGAACATAGATTAAAAAGTACTTACTTAATGAGCTACACCCGGGTGGGTCACACCTCTAATCCTAGCTACTCAGCAAGCTAAGATATGCAGATCACAATTTGAAGCTAGCCTAGACAGAAAAGTCCATGAGACTCTTATTTCCATTAACCACACAAAAAAAACCAGAAGTGGAGCTGTGACTCAAGTAGTAGAGTGCTAGCCTTGAGCACAAAAGCTCAGGGACAGTGCCCAGGCCAAATTCAAGCCCCAGGCCAGCAAAAAAAAAAAAAAAAAAAAAGAAAGAAAAAAGAAAAAAAAAAAGAAAACCGGGAACATCATGATTCAAGGCCTCAGCAAGCAAGAGGCTTGTCAGACCCCATTTCAGCAAGTATCTGTGCATGGCTAGCATGCACCTCAGCATCTCAGCGATGGCACAAAGCACAAATAGGAGGCCACAGTCCACACCAGCCCAGGCAATAAGACAGTATTTCAAAATAACCAGAACAAAAATGGTTGGAGGTATGGCTCAAGCTCAGAGTTATAACCCCAGAATAGGGAAAAAGAAAGAGAAAAAAGAAAAAAGTTAGCGAATAATCTTGTATGTCTATATGTATTTCAAATATTAAAAAAAATCAGTAATATCAGCTGGGCACTGATGGCTCATGCCTATCATCCTAGCTACTCAGGAGGCTGAGATCTGTGGATCACAGTTCAAAGCCAGCCAGGGCAGGAAGGTCTGCCAGACTCTTATCTCCAATTAACCACCAGAAAACCAGAAGTGGTGCTGTGGCTCCAGTGGTAAAGCACTCACCTTGAACTGAAGAGCTCAGGGACACTGCCCAGGCCCAGAGTTTAAACCCCATGACCAAAAAAAAAAAAAAAAAAAAACCTATGTGAATATGAATACCTAAACTAGTGGCCAATAGATTCCAGGAAGGAAATCTCATCAAGCAATTAAATGTGATTCTTCAAAACGCAGTGAGCCAGTGGCTCACGCCTGTAATCCTAGCTACTCAGGAGGCTGAGATCAAAGTGGTAGAGCACTAGCCTTGAACTAAAGCACTCAGGGACAGCTCCCAGGCCCTGAGTTCAAGCCCTACAACCAACCAAAAAAGACAGACAGACAAGAAAAGAAAGAAAGAAAGAAAGAAAGAAAGAAAGAAAGAAAGAAAGAAAGAAAGAAAGAAAGAAAGAAAGAAAGAAAGAAAGAAAGAAAGAAAGAAAGAAAGAAAGAAGAAATTAAGAATGAAAGATACCATTTGCAGGAAAATGGATGAAACTGAAGATTATCTGAAGATGAAATCACAAGTCTTCACTCATATGAAGACTAAACATAGCAATGATAGTAAGACACGACTATAAAGAAGTGATGGGGTACAGTGGAAATAGGTAGGGGAGAAGGGGTGAAGTCAGTACAGTAAAAATACAGTATGCAAGTCTAAGAAAACGGCAAAACAAAACCTGCTAACAACTGTTTCAATATGAGAGGGAGAAGAAATAAGGTTAGGAAAGAACAATATGCAGGGGCTAAAGTCATGGCTCAAGTCTATGTTTAACAACCCCAGTACTACCAAAAATGAAAGTACTGGTGGGTTGTATTTGATTAAAGTACATTATATGCACTATATAATTGTCATAATAAAACCCTTTTGTACCATTAATTTACACTAAGGGCCATCGATAGTCAAGACTTTTCAAATTTACAGCCTTTTACTATGACTAAATAGTAAATATTATGTATTACATAGTTAGATGCTCATCTAGTTCCGTGAAAAGCTTCAGAATGCTACCTAGAATTTGACAGAGCATATACAAACATCAAGGACTGACAGATTGGCTCAGTTGGTAGAACTGGAAGGGCAGAATGAAGAGCTCCTTACTCATGTTTAAGGCAGCCATCCCTCCCTGTGGGGCTGCTGGGTAGACATTCGGTACACTGGTGGTCATGAAGTCTGCAATCTGCTGTAACGCCAATAGACCTGTGGGGTTCTTCCCCTTCTTAAATTGTTCTTGTATCATCGACTCCAGTTCTTCACAGAAAGCCTAAAATGCACATTAAAACACTTTTTTTACCAAGTTTTTGTCTTTTCATGCAGTGCCAGAACAGCAGATATCATCCTCAGACATGACTAATAGGAATATAAACTTATACAATCTTTTCTGCCAAGTGACTTTGTAAGAGCTTAAAGATCTGAATAGAAATTCTATTATAAGGAAAGAATAGGGATATGCTCAAATTTTTATTTATAATGATGCTCACTTTAATATTACTGATACAAAAGTAAACATTTCAAAGAATAGAGAGCTGAACAGATATGCTGAAAATTCTATGTACACATCAACATAAAAAACTAAATAAAGCCAGGCACTGGGGGCTCAAACCTATAATCCTAGCTACTCAAAAGGCTGAGATCTGAGGATCATGGTTCAAAGCCAGCCTGGGCAGGAAAATCAGTGAGACCATGACCAACACACACACACACACACACACACACACACACACACACACACACACACACACACACACGAATTAAATGGCATAAAATGGCTCATGGAACTGGGTACCAATGGCCCACAGCTATAATTCTAGCTATTCAGGAGGGTGAGATATGAGGACAGAAGTTCAGAACCAGCCAGGGCAAACAAATTCTTCCAACTCTTACCTCTAATCAAACCAGCAAAGCTAGAACTGGGGCATGGTTCAAATGTGAAGAGTCAGCCATGAATGAAAAGGCCAGTGAGAGCTCGAGGTCCCTGAGCTCATGCCACAGTAGTGAACATACATACAGAGGTTATAAACTAACATAGTCGTGTTTTGTATTTGTAAATGGAAAGCTACACATAGAGTTGGAGGCGTGGCTCAAGCGACGGAGGGCTGGCCTACTAGCAAGCATGGTATGGAACCCAAGTTAAATTCCTAGTACCACCAAAATAGTGCCTCATAAACACAGGAAAAGACTAAAAGTAAATTAATTCTCTGTGATAAAATTAATAGGTTTCATGTTCTATTTTGTGCTTTCCAATATTTTCTCCAAAATGCTTATATTTATTGATTGATTGATTTTTCGGTCAGTCATAGGGCTTGAACTCTGGGCCTGGGTGCTGTCTCTCAGCTCTTTAGCTCAAGGCTAGCGCTCTACCACTTAAGCCACAGAGCCACTTCCGGTTTATTGGAGAGAAGAGTCTCACAGACCTTCCTGCCCAGGCTGGCTTTGAACTGCGATCCTCAGATCTCAGCCTCCTGAGTAGCTAGGATTAGAGGTGTGAGCCACTGACACCCAACCCAAAATGCTTGTAAATTTACCTTTTAAAGTAGAAGAGTAGGGGGAAAACAATGGAGGGGGTAACAATGCTCAATAGGAAGTGTACTCATTACCTTGCTCATGTAACTGTAACCCTCTGTATAGTATCTTTACAATAAAAAAAATTTTTTAATGTAAAAAAAAAAAATAAAAAATAAATAAAGTAGAAAAAGAAAAAAGAAAGCTGGGCTGGTGGCAAATGCCTATAATCCAGCACTTGGGAGGCTGAAAAAGGAGGATGTCAAAATTCAAGTCAGATGGGATACATAACAAGACCCTACCTCAAAAATCAAAAACTTAAATAATCAAAGCGGGAAAATGAACCCTAATATATATCTTTTGTCAAATAATCCTAATTTAGGCCAAAAGGTCCAATAGATTGCCAGTGAATTTAACATATGTCATTACTGGTTTGTTGGTTTTTGCAGTAGTGGGATTTAGACTCGGGGTTTTAAACTTGCTAGACAAAAGGCTCTGCCACTTGAGCCATACTACCAGCCCCATAAAGTCACTACTGTTAACAATGTAGACAACCTACTGCAGGGCACCGGTGGTTCACACCTACAATCCTAGCTGCTCCGAAGGCTGAGATCTGAGGATTGTTGTTTGAAGACAGGCTGGGCAAGAAACTCCTTAAGACTCTTATCCAATGAACCACCAAAAAGTAGAGCACTATGGCCTTGTGCAAAAGCTCCAAGACATCGGCCCTGAGTTCAAGCCCCATGACCAACTCCTCCACCTCCCCCCACCCCAAAAAAATCCACATGTAGTTAGTTACAAGTTCTCTAGGACTTTTAAGAATCCAAAACTTATTTTTAGTTTTTCATTGCCTAAACTAAGTATACTTGCAGTAAGCACTCAACACGTACTGCTGCTAATTCAGCAGTAGAAAAGACCTATCAGCCCTCTGGGGACCCCAAGTCTACTTATCATGACAAATAATGTCAGAGATCAGTTATGATAGTAAAAAGGAGAAACAAATGCCTCCTAGCCTTTATGATACTAGAATTTTTTATTATGTGTGAAAACATGAAGTAAACTGAATTCTTTCAAAAATCATATATATATATATATATATATATATATATATATATATATATATATATATATATATATATATGAGGCACTGGTTTGCTGTGTTAAGACAAACTCACTAGACCACTCATTCAACAGGGCATAAGACCTGCAGTATCAGAAGAGGGAAGACTATGTCTGGTAAAAGAAAACCCTTTTCTTACAGGACTCTGTAGAATCATGGACACCCTCTTCTTTTGCTCCATCATATTGAAGTCCTGGCGAAGGTCTGGTGCCATGTTCCTCTCCCGCAAGTACTCTGGATTGTTCTCATCCACTCTGTCAAAGTGCCTCTCCTTGTGAGGGGCGGTAGCTGGAGGTGGTGAGGTCACCACTGCAGCCCGAGTATCACCATTCATTGCACAGACTTTCTAGGCTCCTACAGAATCAAAGTAAAAAGAAAGATTACTTTCAAATCAACACTCAGTACAGTTCATGATAAGCACACTAGCCTCATAAGCTCAATCTTCAATGAGAGGACGCCATGGCCTGAACTGTGAGGCTTCTTTGTAGCTTCGGAAGCTGTGGCTTTCAGCCAATCTCCATTCTCCACTAACCAATGGGGCATTTCGTCTTTGGCTGTTATTCAGCAGACCACAAGCGAACAATCTAACTAATGAAGATGCTGTGTCCTCTGACAATCCAAAGAGAAATTAAGACTACGTTTCATCCTCACACAGAAACCAGCTGAAAGCAGCACAGCTTAGCCGGGCACTGGTGGCTCACACCTGTAACCCTAGCTACTCAGGAGGCTGAGATCTGAGGATCACAGTTCAAAGCCAGCCAGGGGAGAGCCCAGAGTCCGTGAGACTCTTATCTCCAATTAACCACCAGCAAACCGGAAGTGGCACTGTGGCTAAAGTGGTAGAGGGCTTGCCTTGAACTGAAGAGCTCAGGGACAGCACCCAAGAGAGGAAGAGGAGGGCGGGGGGAGAGGGAGGGGGAGGAGAAGGGGAAGGAGGCGACAGTGGCAGAGCTTTTTTTTTTTTTAATTGTTCGGTCGTGGGACTTGAACTCAAGACACAGACCCTGAGCTCTTTTGCTCAAGGCTAGCACTCTACCACTTTGAGCCATAGTGCCATTTCCAGGTTTTGAGTGGTTAGTTGGAAATAAGAGCCTCTAGGAGACTTTTCTACCCAGGCTGGCTTCAAACCATGATCCTCAGATCTCAGCCTTCTAAGTAGCTAGGACTACAGGCATGAGCCACCGGCACCTGACTCAGTTTATTCTTTAAAAAAAAAATCTGATTATCTTTCTTCCCTTATGTTGTAAGATTCATTCATTCATTTTTATTTACTGGAAACCAAACTGGGTCTTTTTTTTGTCAGTCATGAGGCTTAAACTCAGGGTCTGGGTCCTGTCTCTGGGCTCTTTTGCTCAAGACTAGTGCTCTACCACTTTGAGGCACAGTGCCACTTCCAGTTTTCTGGTGATTACTTGGAGATAAAGAGTCTCAGATATTTTCCTGACCATGCTGCCTTTGAACTGTGATCCTCAGATCTCAGCCTCCTGAGTAGCTAGGATTTCAGGCCTAAGCCACCAGCTTCCGGCTTTAAACTAGAGGTCTTATGCTAGACAAGCTCTCTGTCACACTCGACCTGAAAGCTTCAATTTCTGTTATCTTCCCCCAAAAGTATTGGTAGTGATCCTACAAAGAATTTCCCACGCAGATCAGTGGAAGAGAAGCTGTTGGCACATCTGGATTCACACGCATGAAAAAGGCTCCGCAAGACTACCACCATCCCAGAATTCCTCCGTCATTAGGAGCTGCCAACACACAGCTGCAGTAAAGCTGCAGAAGAGGAAACAGGCGAGCAGGAAAATGTACTGAGAAGAGGGAATAGAAGAGGCCATCAAGAATGGTTCTCTAGGGGCTGGGAAGGTGGCTCAGTGGTATAGCGCTTGCCTTGCATGCATGAGGCCCTGGGTTCCATTCCTCAGCACCACATAAGAAAAAAGCCGGAAGTGGCGCTGTGGCTCAAGTGGTAGAGCGCTAGCCTTGAGCTGAAGAGCTAAGGGACAGCGCCCAGGCCCAGAGTTCAGGCCCCACGACTGGACCCCCCCCCCCCCAAAAAAAGAAAAAGAATGGTTCTCTATGTTTTGTTATTATAAATATTAAATTTTCCTGAGTAAAGCTAGCCATGGTAGTTAATCTCAAGGAAGAAAAAGTTAGTGAGATTCCGCATCAACACTTGGTGTGGTGGTGCAGGAAGCAGAAGAAAAATTATCTCTGTCTAGGTTCACCTGGGCTAAAGAGACCCTACCTGATTTAAAAGGTGAAGGCATGGCTCAAGTGGTGAGTGCTCACAGAGCAAGCTCAAGGCCCTTAGGTCAAACTTAGTACTGGAAAGAAAGAGAAGGAGGAGGCGGAGGAGGAGGAGTAACTGGCAAGCTGAGTAGTCTCAGAAGCCATTGGTAGGATACTGAGATCTAACAACAGAGGTTCAAAGCCAGCCTGTGCAGCAAAGTCCATGAGACTCTTATTTCCAATTAACCAGCAAAAAGGATGTGAGGGTGATCTGGCTGTGACATCTGTCACCCCATTGATCGCCAGGGTTGATTCGGCTGCTCTGGCTGGCTAGGCGGGTGTCCCCTTCCTCCCTCACCGCTCCACGTGAGTCCCTCCCAAAGCCGCGCGCTCGGTTGAAGAGGACGACCATCCCCGACAGGGGAGGACCGGTCTTCGGTCAAGGGTATACGAGTAGCTGTGCTCCTCTGCTAGAACCTCCAAACAAGCTCTCAAGGTCCAATTAACCAGCAAAAAGCTAGAAGTAGAGGTATGGCTCAAGTGGCAAGAGCACCAGCCTTGAAAAGAAAAAGCTAAGGGAGAACACTCAGGCCCTAAGTTCAAGCCCCAATACCAATACAAAAAAAAGCACAAGTCATACTAATCTATAATAGATCCTCAAGCAACAGATAAACAAGGTAGGAATTCAAAAGTTAATTATATTGGCAACTAAAAACTGATGCTAGCCAGGTGCCACGGGCTCACACCCATACTCTTAGCTACTTAGAAGGATGAGATGTGAGAATCTCAGTTCTGAAATCAACTCAAGAGACAAATCCAAGAGACTTTCATCTCCAATTAATCAACAAAAATCTTAAAATGGGCTGGGTGCCGGTGGCTCACACCTGTAATCCTAGTTACTCAGGAGGCTGAGATCTGAGGACTGTGGTTCGAAGCCTACACGGGATATAAGTCCACTGAGACTCCTATCTCCAATTAACCACTCAAAAACTGTAAGTGATGCTGTAGTACAATGCTAGCTTTGAGCACGAAGAGGCTCAAGAACAGTGCCCTCGCTCTGAGTTCAGGCCCCATAACTGACAAAAAAAAAATCCTACAGTGGAATCTTGGCTCAAATGGTACAGTGCCACTATGAGTGAAAAGGCTGAGAACTCAAGGCCTGGAGTTTAAGCTTTAGTACTAGCATGCGTGCACATGCGCGCACGCGCGTACACGCGCACACACACACGCACACGCGCGCACACACACACGCACGCACGCACACGCACGCACGCACACACACACGCACATACACACGCACACACACACACACACGCATGCACGCACACACGCACGCACGCGCACGCACGTGCGCACACACGCGCGCACACACGCGCACACACACGCGCGCACACGCACGCGCACACGCACACGCGCACACACGCACGCGCACACACGCGCGCGCACACACTCGCGCACACACGCACGCGCGCGCGCACGCACGCGCACACGCACGCACACACATACACACGCACGCGCGCGCACACACACACACACACACACACACACACACACACAACCAATGCAAGACAATCTAGACCTACCTAAACCCAACAGCAAAAACTATAAATACAGCCAGGAGCTGGTGGCTCATGTCTGTAATCCTACCTATACAGGGGCTGAGATCTGAGGATGGTGGTTCAAAGTTAGCTCAAGCAGGAAATTCTGTGAGATTTTTATCTCTAATTAAACCACCAGAAAGCCGGAAGTGGCACTGTGGCTCAAAGTGGTAGAGCACTAGCCTTGAGCAAAAGAGCTCAGGGACAGTACAAGGCCCTGAATTCAAGCCCCACAACTGACAAAAAAAAAAAAAAAACCCTACAAATACTTAGAAATAAATAAATAAATCCTTATGACCTCAGGCTAGGCAATGTTTTCTTACAAAAGGATAAGGAAAAAAAATAAATTGGACTTCCTCCAAATTAAAAACATTTGTGCTTCAGATACCATCAAGAAAGTGAAAAGACAAGTCCCGAGAAGACATGGATGCAGGAAAACAGAAGAACTCTTATAACTCCATCATTAAAATAACTTTTTTTTTTTACTCAAAAACTGGGGGTCTGGGAATGTGGCTTAGTGCCCTGGGTTTGATTCCTCAGTACCACATACACAGAAAAAGCCAGAAGTGGCGCTGTGGCTACATTTAGCCGGGCACTGGTGGCTCATGCCTGTAATCCTAGATACTCAGGAGACTGAGATCTGAGGATACAGTTCAAAGCCAGCCCCAGCAGGAAAGTCCATGGACTCTTATCTCCAATTAACTACCAGAAAACCGAAAGTGGTGCTATGGCTCAAGCACGAGAGCAAGCGAGAGAGCGCTACATTTGAGCAAAATGAAGGTCAGGGACAGTGCCCACAACCTGAGTTCAAGTCCCAGGACTGGCAGGAAAACAAAAAGCAAACAACAACAACCAAAAACAACCCTTTGGGCACCACTGGTTCACACCCATAATCCTAGCTACTCAGGAAGCTGAGGTCTGACAATAAAGATTCAAAGCCATCCTAGGCCGCAAAGTCCATGAGACCCGAAAAAGCCAGAAACAGCTTTTTGGTAGAGTGCTAGCCTTGAGCAAAAGAAGTTCAGGGAGAGTGCCTAGGCCTTGAGTTCAGGTCCCAGGTCTGGGGAAGGAAGGAAGGAAGGAAGGAAGGAAGGAAGGAAGGAAGGAAGGAAGGAAGGAAGGAAGGAAGGAGGGAGGGAGGGAGGGAGGGAGGGAGGGAGGGAGGGAGGGAGGGAAGGAAGGAGGGAAGGAGGGAAGGAGGGAAGGAAAGGAAGGAGGGAGGGAGGGAAGGAGGGAAGGAAGGAAGGAGGGAGGGAAGGAGGGAAGGAGGGAGGGAAGGAGGGAAGGAGGGAGGGAGGGAGGGAGGGAGGGAGGGAGGGAGGGAGGGAGAGAAGGAGGGAGGGAGGGAAGGAGGGAGGGAGAAAATTCACTAGCAAGAGGAAGCTCAAGCCAGCGCACTCCCCCACAGAAACAAAGCAGAGCACCCTTTTGCACAATTATTTAAAGACTTTTGCTTAAAAAAAAGCTTTCTAAAAACAGGCTTGGCATTTCTTCTCTAGTAATACAGTTCCCTACCATCAGGTAGTGGGGTGA